ATTACAGTAAGAAAGATAGCTAAACTATATTACAGTAAGAAAGATAGCTAAACCATATTACAGTAAGAAAGATAGCTAAACCATATTACAGTAAGAAAGATAGCTAAACTATATTACAGTAAGAAAGATAGCTAAACCATATTACAGTAAGAAAGATAGCTAAACTATATTACAGTAAGAAAGATAGCTAAACCATATTACAGTAAGAAAGATAGCTAAACCATATTACAGTAACAAAGATAGCTAAACCATATTACAGTAACAAAGATAGCTAAACCATATTACAGTAACAAAGATAGCTAAACCATATTACAGTAACAAAGATAGCTAAACCATATTACAGTAACAAAGATAGCTAAACCATATTACAGTAACAAAGATAGCTAAACCATATTACAGTAACAAAGATAGCTAAACCATATTACAGTAACAAAGATAGCTAAACTATATTACAGTAAGAAAGATAGCTAAACCATATTACAGTAACAAAGATAGCTAAACCATATTACAGTAAGAAAGATAGCTAAACCATATTACAGTAAGAAAGATAGCTAAACCATATTACAGTAACAAAGATAGCTAAACCATATTACAGTAAGAAAGATAGCTAAACCATATTACAGTAACAAAGATAGCTAAACCATATTACAGTAACAAAGATAGCTAAACCATATTACAGTAAGAAAGATAGCTAAACTATATTACAGTAACAAAGATAGCTAAACCATATTACAGTTAGAAAGATAGCTAAACCATATTACAGTAAGAAAGATAGCTAAACCATATTACAGTAAGAAAGATAGCTAAACCATATTACAGTAAGAAAGATAGCTAAACCATATTACAGTAACAAAGATAGCTAAACCATATTACAGTAAGAAAGATAGCTAAACCATATTACAGTAAGAAAGATAGCTAAACCATATTACAGTAAGAAAGATAGCTAAACCATATTACAGTAACAAAGATAGCTAAACCATATTACAGTTAGAAAGATAGCTAAACTATATTACAGTAAGAAAGATAGCTAAACCATATTACAGTAAGAAAGATAGCTAAACTATATTACAGTAAGAAAGATAGCTTGTATATCAAGAGATTTGGTCAAGGACCAGTTGGTAAGGTGAATATTGATATGATTAAAAGAACTTTCAGCTATCTGTAGCACTTTTTAAAACGACAAGTATGAATGAAGATTTAACAAAGTAATATACAAACCTATCCCTGGTAAAATATGGAATTTCTCGTTCACTTCTTTATCAACAGCTGTAGTAACTATTTTTACTTTCGGGAAAGCGTATGCTACCGAATGAACACCTACAATTAAAATAATTTACTGGTTAAAAAAAATATCCATATTTAACCAAGGCAAGGTTTAAAAGAGATTTATTTTAACTTTTCATGTGTATCAAGAACATTAATGACTTCTCTTTGTATTAAATTAGATGAAATTATCTTGACGTATGCCTGGATGGAACCCTGGACCATCAGGTTACCAGACAAGATGTTGAGGTGCTCCAGATTGAGAAATATGATAAAAATTAAGAATCAAAGAATAAAATGTTGTACCTGATTCAGCCATTAATAAAGAACAGAGAGTAATATGATCTTCTTTTACATCATGATCTAATAATACTCTGATAGCCATGATAGCAGCAGCACCTGTTGCTACGGTAGCATCCAATAACATCACATATTGTTCCTTTATATCTTTAGGTAGACGTAAATAATGCAGCTAAAATATTAATTTGTTTTCCATAAAAAGCTTCCAAAAGTTTACAAATTAGTTGAAAAATACAAACAAGAAAGCACCAAATTAAAACATACGAAATTCCCATGAGATGTTTTTTTTTAGGTCCTGATAATTTTAATGACTATATTTCTGACCAATCATAGCGGGTCGTTTAGAACCCATTTCTTGATTAGCATGGAATTGTGGGATAGCATCTACGAGGAAGTGAAATACCCTAAACAAGAAATACAATTAAACTAACCTCTGGTTCCCCTGTATCTAAGTTAGTTTGAATCAATATTTTACCAATTTGAATATTTTTACACACAGCACATAGCGCAGGTTCCATGGTTTCTCCGGCCCTTAATATTGATACTCCACATATCTTTATATTAGTCAGACGTTTACCTTCATACGGAACATTTTGAGGTGTTTCAATTCGGACAGACTGAAAATACCAAATATATTTTTAAGAAATTAAGAAAATTTGCATATGCATTTTGTATTTCTTCTATCGATGCTGTGAGCCATTTTAATAACAAATGTAATGGTAAAGAGGTTATCAACCTCAATGTGGAGCAGAATGAAAAAAAAAAACAAAAAAAAACATAAAAAACATTGTATCTGACAGATATACCAGGTGAGTAACTTCAGAAAGATAGTAACTTCAGAAAGATAGTAACTTCAGAAAGATTTGAAGAAATTAAAATAACATATCAAAAAGAAGAAATATTTACAGAAGTTCCTTCTCTTACCTTAAATGGAATCATGGACATGGCGTATTCAAACAACAACCTCATTAGTCTTTGGGAATAAAAAATAAATTCATCTCGAGCCGTATCTTTATTCCTATAACAAACATTTCAAAATTATATCAATATAAAACTTATAAATTGATAAAACTCACGGTAAAAATATCATCACTCAACATCTATAATAACTTTGGTATAGATGAGGTCAAGACTTTGGTATAGATGAGGTCAAGACTTTGGTATAGATGAGGTCAAGACTTTGGTATAGATGAGGTCAAGACTTTGGTATAGATGAGGTCAAGACTTTGGTATAGATGAGGTAACTTTGGTATAAGGTAGACTTTGGTATAGATGAGGTCAAGGTTTTGGTATAGATGAGGTCAAGACTTTGGGCGTCTTGGGTAAGGAGGAGGTATAAGCACCAGTACAAATATTGTTTTGATGTTTAGAAAACACAGTGTATATGATGAAAGATGGGCTGGGGATTGGGTAAAGAAAAAGGAGAAAAGAGAAATAGATTGAGATTATCCTACCTGATAAAAGTATGAAGACCCTTTATTTGTGAAGTTTGTTCTAGAACATACAGACTACTAGGGGTAGGTTCCCCGTTACATGCTGCATTCGCTAACTTAGAACGTAATTTAAACCCTCTCTACAATAAAACACAATATTAACATTTAAATACTGAACAACAACAACAACATTGGTACATAAAAACATGTGAACAATACAAGTTAATAATAATAATAATAATAATTATCCCAGATCTCATATATGGTAAAGTAATCTTTCACTGAACAGAGCATTTAATTGGTTGAATATCTTAATGACCTAGAACATGTTAAGAAAAGAATTTTGTTAGATCATGGATGACGAGTAGAATAAACTACAGAAAAGGCACAAAAGAAGATATCAAGATAATGATATGTATTATATTAAGGTATTAAAAGATTATCTTACATTTTGTAATTGTGTATGTACATGCATGACTATAAGATTAATAGCCACGTCATTTTCTCCACCTGAAATATATATTTACATTGATTATTCAGCTGTAAACTTGTTTTACTGTCAGGGGATGACTGATAGCTCAACTCAACTCAACTCAACTCAACTCAACTCAACTCAAATCAAGGCAATGGACATCACAATACTGAGTGCAGTAAGATCTTTTAACTAGGAAAGGGGCATTAACCTACATATTCTTAAAAATCAGCATTGTTTATTTCCAAACTCTTGAGGGATATTTTACAAGGATAGTATTTAGAAAACCAGGCCTTTGTTAACTGTCTAACTGAAACAACTAACCATTCTATATCAGCCAGTCCAAACTGTATCACAGACAGGGGGAGCCAGGTTTAAATAGAGTAAAAATAACACTTACCTCTAGGAACTATAATATCTGCCACTGACATGGTGGGCTCTATATAATGTTCAAACGCTGGTTTAACAAATTTATTATATTGATGTAATACTCCACCGAGATCTCGGCCTCGATCTGATATATCACGTTTTAATCGTCTCGCTAGTCGGACATCAGAATCTGTGTCTATAAATATCTTCATATCCATCAACTAGAATAAAATATATAAATATTCATGATGTCATGTGAGTTTCAAGTTGGCCAATCAATAGGGGCAGTGGTTTTAACTATCCTGATCTCTGGTAGTGTTTCAGATATAAAATCCTCATCAGGGAAGTTTACAAAGACAAATATAAGAAGTTTATACGTACGTTTAATAATTCTTTACTATAGAATATCATAATTCCTTCAAATATCACCACATTAGCTCCATATATTGTTTTCTGTAAAAATATAATCATAATGTTTTTATCTCTTCTCAAATCAAACTGTTTCAAACTGCCAGCATAGTTTACTTTTCTCATAATTCCAGTTGACCCAGTTGTATCTAGTTCAGATAATACATGGGAGATTAATGCCAAGAGATCTGACTAAGGACCTTGAGAAAGTAAGTTGTTATCATTGTAACAGAAATCATCCTTTCTTACAGCTATCTGTAAACAATTATAAAATATGAAACGAAAATAATTACATCTGCAGGTTCTCGGCCGTGAGTATTAAAATTATAAACAGGAACTTTCACGATCTTCCCTTCTTTTAATCTTTTTAACGTGGCTATTAAAAGTTTAAAATCAAAGGCGTCCGGATGATCAAAATTATATTCATTTCTCGCGGCTTGTTCATGTTGCTCTTTATTTAAAACCTGGAAGAACAAAACACTAATTCTGTCAACATAGAGTTACTGGGTGGCTACAGGGATATAGGTATTGTTAATAATTTGGTAATATGTATCATTTTGCAACAAGGGCAGTAACTTCACAAAGATTAAAAACTGTAGATTCTAGAGAGTTTACAAGAGGAATAGTGGACACAAAGGCTGACAATTTAATGGTAATACTAAATATCATAATAGATGTCACTTTATATCAAAAACACAAGTCTATATTCTTAATTTTTACTTTGAGAAACTGTTGTTGAAAAAGTTTTCTAGTTCAGTCATTTGACTATAAAAAAAGGAGATAATTGGTTGTAGAATAATGGAGGCATTCAACCAATAAAAAATATTTTGATGTCAATTCTCTCATTGACCTACTTTACACAGTAACAGTTATTAATAATAACTAGGTCATTGACCTACTTTATACAATAACAGTTATTAATAATAACTAGGTCATTGGGTGCAAAATCAAAATATTTATAGTAATTATTTACTACGGGTGAGTAAAGCCAGCTTCAAAATAACAAATATTGTATTGAAATTAAATTTCTTTCACTTTTTGGTACTGAATTTTAAAATTTTTTACCCAAGTATTGTAAATACCAACTTTTATTGAAATACAGGGGAAACTGTTGCAAAAATTGAATATTTCTGTATTGTTAGTAAATTTACAACTGTCCCTTTAAGAAAATTATCCTGTTTTAATTATGTATTATTTTTATAATAAATATAGAATTTTTCTCTGTGAAATATATAATGGAAATTTGTAATAATTTTTTATATTTCTGAGTGAATATAATTATATATATATATATAAATAATAGATAATTAAAACAGGATAATTATCTTAAAGGGACGGTTGTGCCATTTTTTTTAACGATCATACTTTAGTCTCGGAGATCGGTATTAAGCTAAGCTAATCAGTAATAATGTTGAAATCTGAGCCTTCAGTTCCATGTGTGTCCAGAATTATCTATGTTTGAAAGTTAAAAAGAGGACATCTAGCCATATATAGAAATAGGAAAAGAAATTTGAAGTATTTTTGAGGGAAATATGTGACTTCTAGTACTTCTGAAGACTATTTACATATATTCAAATCAACCCCCAAAAATGGTGCACCTATCCCATTTATCATAAACACAAGGTCAGTAAAAATATACAATTTAAAATTATTACACAAACACAGAGGTCATAGGGCTACAAAATTATTTAAAATTCTTCAGTTTCCATAATATATAACAATAAGGTTGATAAATCATATATTATATAGATATCCTCCTTACTATTATTAGATCAATGAAGTCAAGGTCTTGACAGGCCAATTTCAGCACTCATGTTAAAGGTCACCAGTCTTGTCCTTTGTTAAGATAACTATTTTACCATGGTAACATACACCCACAGGGGCATGTAGAAAATATTCCTTTAATATTAGGGAGAACAGATTTTTAATTTTAACCTGGGCAGTTGTCCCCACATCAAGTTAGTCTGTGCCCTATTGGTACCCCCCGTCTTGTGATGTTAGCACCACCACTGGGAGAACACAGAAAGTGTTTATATACCTTATAAAAAGAGTCCATACTCAGTAAGCTGACCCACGGTACATCTAAAGCTTCTATTATTTTTCTCGAAGCTGTAGTTTTTCCTGAGGCGCTGCCGCCACATATTCCTGAAAATAGACAGAACAAAATATCTTATAATTGAGAACATTGCTACAGGCTGGTGGTATTTCTCTATAAACAAAACATACACTCAGTTATTGATATGTGCCTTTACATTTTACTCTCCATATAGATTCATTATTCTTATCTTTTATTTCATTTTCCTGTTATATTAGAATTTTGAATAATGGTGGGGATTTATAGATTGGTTTTTATTCACTATTTCAGATTTCCTTTTAGATAACAAAACATTGTATATCTTTTAATATTAACCTACAGTAATTATTTGAATGTTTAAACTTTGCTGTAGCAGGTTTTTCACCCTTAGCCTTTACCAAAATACAATTTTACTGTCAAACCCATATAATTTCTGAATCACATTCTGCATTTTATCTCTATCAATTGAAATTTGAAGTCTTTTACCTTGTGCCTTATATTCAACATAATAAATATATCAGAAAATCTTGATGAAATATGATATAAACAGTAAGTAGAGCATGCCCACCCTAAAAACATCTTTTAACCTGACCCCCTGGGTGTAAAAACAAGTTATTAACTAATGTCATCTAGCCCCCCAAAACATTAGTAGGTCAAATCAACAAAATACTTTTACAAAATTTCTTGAAATAAAAATAAGAAATGTAAATAAGAAATACTACTCAATAAAAAATATTCTTATAAAATGTTACCCTGTTTTTAATTATCCTGTTTTGGCTAAATAACCCCAGCAACCTCATGCACTGTACAATGAGGGAAATTTTCATACACTTACCTATAACAAAAGGTTTTTTGAGTTGACCCTGTGAATCATACCAAGGTGGTCGACCTGCAGTATATAATGTTCGACTACCAGTGTAAACAACACGACCACTCGACTTCGTGTATGCAGCCTGTGCTTTCACTTTCTTTTTGGCCGATATTGATTTGGTGGGACTTTTTGTAGGTTTGGTTGGTGTTGTTGGGGTGGTAGTTGTTGTGTAATGTTTATCACCATAGCTATTTATTTCATCATCTTCCCCACTGAAAAACACAGAAATAAAAAAATCTTAAAATAATTTGGGAATTCATACGACAAGGCAGGATTATACCAGGCGACAAGGCAGGATTATACCAGGCGACAAGGCAGGATTATACCAGACAACAAGGCAGGATTATACCAAACGACAAGGCAGGATTATACCTGACAAGGCAGGATTATACCAGGCGACAAGGCAGGATTATACCAGGCGACAAGGCAGGATTATACCAGGCGACAAGGCAGGATTATACCTGACGACAAGGCAGGATTATACCAGACAACAAGGCAGGATTATACTAGGCGACAAGGCAGGATTATACCAGGCAACAAGGCAGGATTATACAAGACGACAAGGCAGGATTATACCAGACAACAAGGCAGGATTATACCAAACGACAAGGCAGGATTATACCAGACAATAAGGCAGAATTATACCAAACGACAAGGCAGGATTACACCAGACAACAAGGCAGGATTATACCAGGCGACAAGGCAGGATTATACAAGACGACAAGGCAGGATTATACCAGGCGACAAGGCAGGATTATACCAGACGACAAGGCAAGATTATACCAGACAAGGCAGGATTATACCAGGCGACAAGGCAGAATTATACCAGACAAGGCAGGATTATATCAGACGACAAGGCCATTATAGAAATATTAAAACAGAACCTGAAACATGTTGTTTCCCTTTGTGCCATCTCCAGACTACTGACCTATTACAACCTAGCTGTGTCTCTACTGAAGTTTGACAAGCTGTATTTGTTCTTGTGTCTGTAACTTGAGACGGGTTCAGATAGTTTGTATATTTAATCATGTTAATGACAAGAAAAGTGCGACTTTAACAAAGTAAATGATAGAAAAGACGGAAATAGTGTTAAGTTGATAAACTGTTTCTATATTTATCTTGAATTATGAAAGATTAAAACCATAAATTACAAAATAATAAAATACCAAATTAACATCCTTCCATTAACAAGATATATATCAAAATAAAATATTAAATAATTTCAGCTTGGTTTAAATATTTGATTTATTTTTACCAACTGATCACTTACACCTATTTATAATGGACAATTTTAATACCAAATTAAAATTATTAGCCATGTGGACTATACGAAAGGCAACCCTAAATATCAAATAAACAGAATTAGCCATGATGTGGACTCTCTAATTTCTCCAACAACAAAACAAAAAATTAAAAAAAAAGACTTACACTTTAACTTTGTCCTCAGCCAGCTGGTTATCAACATCATTTTTATTATTATTCAATACATCAGACATAATGCCCTCTATATATTACTCAATATACAATATAAACTGGGCAATATCAATTCAATATACCACTTTTACTTCCCATATACCATGTCTCATATCAAATACTCATTTATAAAAATTGTTTTTAATGGTGCTATCAACTCTACAGTCCACTTTTACTAAACATACATTAATCTTACAATATCAGCTGTAGAGCACTTTTACTGCACACAAACCGGGCAATATCAACTGTAAATAACACTTTTACTGCACACAAACCGGGCAATATCAACTGTAAATAACACTTTTACTGCACACAAACCGGGCAATATCAACTGTAAATAACACTTTTACTGCACATATACACTGTTTGTATATTTCTTTAAACAGTGATAAATCAGCTGACTGCCTCTTGATTTTAAAGAGTTATTTTCTTCACACAAACAGTTTTTTTTTCTTTTTAACTTGAAGTTAAACTACACTAACTATTTATATTAGGTCAATTGTCTGTATGAGTTAAAACTATAACTAATGTTTCAATACAGCAGATTTCAATAAAACAGACAGAAAGTAGTCCAATTAGTAAAATAAATCAGTTTTTTAAGTAAAAACTAAAATTCAATAATATAATCCAAATTTTCTAACAGAAAAGTGGTTTCATTAATTAAAATAATTTATGGTGTTGACAAGCTATTATTCAACCAACAAGACTGAAAAATGATTAAAGTTTAGAATTGAATTCAATCTTTACAATTAAAAACTAGATGTAATACATCCAACATTTAATACAAATTTTAAATAAAATACTAGACGTATTCCAGAGAAATATTTAACTTAACAGCTAGATAACTAGTCTATTTATAAAATACAGCTTGACTTTCATCCACTATTAAAATTCACAAAATAAAAAATATGTTTCAGTTTCATACAAAAACTAAATCAAATGTAATACATCCAAGCTAGAAAATTGGTCCAATAATGAAAAAACGGCTCAAGTTTCATCCACTTTTCAATCCATACAAAGATAGGACCATTAAATGACTGACTAGTTGGACTGTGACTAAAACTACTGTACATCTAGCCTACATCAGTCTAATAAACAATCCTCAGTCTACACAATAATGAAAAGCTGTATCATCACATTTATAAATAAATATGTTCATTCATACAGTCTGTGACAGCTGGCAGGTCGAGCTGTATTCTGAATGTCAACTAGTTTTCACAACAATTAGAGTCTTTTTAATTCAAGAGGTGATACTTATATATTTATATCTCGAATAAATCACAGAGTAAACATAAAAACAATTTTAACAAAAATAATACCAGATCACAGTTTAGATCTGATAATAAAAACACAAAGAATTGAACTTTGCTTCAGCAATCAGCACACAAGATATACCAATATAGACAAAAAATAACAAAATCTTGAACTAAACTTTACTATACATAGATATTTTTTATCACTTAAATAATTGGTCAGATTGTCAAGACCAATGAAATAAAAGTGTTTTATAAACATCAGGAGATAATGTTGAACAAAAGTGCAATATGGACTGGTCAAAATTTATAAACTACCTGATCATCCAATGAAATATAGCAATCAAAATTTACACAAGAAAATTAATTCTGTAAATCACTCATTGTCTCCTCAACATTTCAAAAACTATTATATACTTCTACCGTGTTTCACTTTAGCAGGTAAACCTTGTATTAGAGACAGAAGTAATCAATCAATGTCTAGCTATGACGTTCACAGCGATATAAATAATATGTTCACAGTAAACACATCATATAATGGGGTGCATCACTTGAGATTTTATCCTGATTACAAGATAGAAATAATTATGGGCTTTTATCAGTTAATTTATTCTATTCTTTTATACCAAACAAACAGGAAACTACACTTTAGAGGGAGGATTGGAGTGCAGTTAGTTAGAGCGTTAGAATCTTGACATCATTAGCAGGTTATCGTCAACCATCTCTTTTAAAGAGTTCACAATAATAGCTTATAATGTCTATTATACAGGTTTTCAACCGGGAATCTCTTAAAGAAAGTCGCATAGCTAATAATATTTATTTAGTATGTAGGTTTGTCAACTTGACATCCCTTTCAGAGAGTTTTTCACAATAGGTGTACTGTCTTTGCACAGCTGTAGCGGAAATTAAGCTCTTATATTTCTATTAGTATCAGCTGATAAAGCAAACTGCACATCTTAATATGTGTAACAGATTGTTTAAGACTGATTTTGTTTAAGAATTTACAAACGGATGCTGTTTAAGAAAGCTATAAACTCTGAACTGGATGGATTTGCTGCATTAGCACAATGTGGCCCTTTATTATTGTTCTATTTTTAGTAATATTTCATCATGGAAGCGCACACATGAATCAGATGGGACGGGAAAAAAGGAAAAAATTAAAATCAGGGGCCAAAATTGAAATAGGTCTGTAAAAGAATACCTTTTCCAGCTATTCGTAATAAAGGGAAATATAATTTGTATTACCTATCCGAAATAGAGCTTGCTGAACTGGGTGGATTGGTAAATTCAAACACACTTTCCGACATTTTGCAATATTATGCATTTCCGCAGCAAAGAAAGAAAATATTCCGCGAAATAAAATTTTGTAAATTTATGCACCAGTCTTTGAAAAATATCTAATTCAAAATTATTTTCACATGTTTGAAAAAAACAAATTTGAAATTGAATAATTTTAGAAATTACGTGAGAAAATATGGAACTGGTTCGAGCTAAATGTTATATTTGTTTGTGATTGGTTGAGAAGCGATCAGCAGACGAATCACCATGTTTATGTCCTCACGGAAACGGGCACCTGCTGATGATCATTAATGTATGCTTAATGAATGTGTTAATTTAATGGTTGACAGTTTAAGGTTTGTAAAATTAACATAACTTAATTAAACATCATTAATCAAGAATGGGAAATTGTCAAGTTGATTTCGAATCATCCTGATCGTATTTTGAAGTCAAAGTCTGTTTTGTGTTTTATCAGCTGATAAATTCTACTTTCATTTTATTTTTTATTAAAATTTATTATGTAACCATAACTCTCTTTAACTTTCTGACTGTACAGATAAAGATGATGGACCTTATCTGGTCTAAAGGAACTTGTTGACTCTATCATCACACTCATTCCAGCCCCTGACTTTTTCAGATCCAGCTTAATTAAGCTCTTTCTTCAGTTTCAGCTGATGCCAGGCTTTTTTCTTTTTCCCCCCTGAAACAAGGTATCCATGTAATTTAATTCAATATCAGCGGTCTGTATCCTTTTTCAGAACTAAAACCAGTTAAAGAACCTGAAGTTAGAGTAGGAAAGCTGTAAGTTCTGTTCAAGCTTTTAGTTCTGAAAAATGTCATAATAATACAGATTGATAGCTCAGCTCTATCTCATGGTAACGTTGATATTTTAATATTTCAGAGAAGACAGAAGATGATATTGAGTAGTTTAATATGTCTAGGAGGAGAGTATGTTGGAGGAGATGGTCTGATGTACATGATGATGTTAGCTATTGCTCTAATGGTTATTCTTATCACTTATCTTTTTATTTACATCAAAAATATCAGAAAGGTAAGAAAGGGGACTAGGATTGAACATTTGATCTGGGGTTTTGATGATCCAACATTCCCAACCCAACACAAAATGGGCTGTACTGACAGATTTTTGTGTGTCACCTTGTGAGGAAGATAGAGGTGCTAACACTGTAATAGGACTTTAATTTGCAATTCATGATTTTATTTCTTTTGTAAAATTACTAAGCTCTTTTCTTGACTTTTCTTATTCCAGTTTGTTTTTTTCTGTCCTTCCAGATTATATCAGTAGATAGACCTGATCATGTATTTACCAGTAAAACAGAAGAACCAGAAATAATTATAATAGGGTCAGGTGTACTAGGGTCAGCGTTAGCCACTGTTTTATCTCGAGATGGTCGGAGGGTAACAGTTATTGAGAGAGATATGAAAGAACCTGATAGAATAGTTGGTGAATTGTTACAGCCAGGTGGAATAAAAGCTCTAACTAAACTTGGTCTGGAAGGTTGGTCTTGTAAACAGCTACCTATCTTGTTTTCTAGGCCATAAATATCAATTTCAGCTTGTACAGATCGATAACATTGACATAGATAGCTGAAATTGAGCTCAATCAGCTGGTAAAATGAATATTAAGATAAATATATCTATTATTGATTTTAATAATTTCAGATACAGTAAATGGTTTAGATGCCCATCCTATAAAAGGTTATGTTATACATGATTTAGAAACTCAAACAGAAGTAACAGTCCCCTACCCTAAAGAAGGCTCTACCCAGGAGGTGACTCAGGGACGAGCTTTTCACCATGGAAGATTTATCATGTCACTTAGAGAGAGAGCCCAACAGGAGAAAAAGTAAGTTTTATTCCAAATTAAATCAAATATCATGATTAGATTTCTATTTTCTTCTCATTCTGTAAGTTATTTCTTTCAACCTGATTGAAATACAGCTCTCGATACTTTCTATATTATAAGTTAATTTGAATTGTTAGTAAAATGGAAACCAAGTCATATCTATGGAAGTTGTAACCTTAAGTTTAAAAAAAAATCTCTTGTTCAATGAGTTCTCGACCTAATCCAATAGTGATAAAAGAATGTTAGAATATGTAGAACATGTACTAATGTTTAGATATATATCAACATAGATAATATTATATTGTCATATTTTAACACTGATTGTATCACTACTGTCACAATATCATGTCTAAATTAAAACAATACACTGGTTAATATCTATGTTATGTCAATATTTTAATATTTTATATTACATGACCAGTTCTCTATCATTTTAGTCACTAGTGTCAGTTAAATTCTGACATAGATAAAATACTAGCCCACTAAAACTCACTTGTGATATGGTAACCTGAAAAATATTCATTTGAAATCCAATTTTTTTTATGAAATTTAAATGTAATATTAATAGTTATGAATTAAATGATAATGGCTCAATATTTGGTAGTAATTAGTTTTTTGATTTTTCTGTAATTTGATCTCATTATTTCAGTGTAACATATATAGAAGCGATGGCTCACAAACTGATAGAAGATAAAGGTGTAGTAATAGGTGTACAATATAAAACCAAGGGGGACAACTCAGTCAAGGTATAATTTATTCTCTACAACATAATGCCCCGTCCTTCCATATTTCCTTGTGAACTCAACAGAGATTCATATTGATGAGATCTTGAATGATTTGATTAGTGAAATGAAATGAAATGAATGGAGCTTTACATCCTTCTGCACCATGTGGGCTAATAAAGATGGGCAACACCATGCAGTGTGCAATTAGGGGCATCTTTAATGTGCCTGTTGATTTGATTAATGTTTCAACAGTTAATGTTCTTGAAACAAAAGTAGAATTTGTAGTTTGAGCCACGATTCATCTTGTTGCTGTTTGGGGAGACAACTGGTTGGAATTATTGCCAACTTCTATGTGATATAAAACTTTATTTTGTTTTATCATTTCAGGAGGTGTATGCTCCACTGACTATAGTAGCTGATGGTTGTTTTTCTAAATTCCGTAAACAGTTAGTGAAGGAAGATGTGACAGTTTATTCTCATTTTGTCGGCACGTTAATGTTGGATTGTCCCCAATCTCTTATGAACCATGCCGAGCTCGTCCTGGCTAAACCCAGTCCAGTATTGATATATCAGATCTCATCTCATGATACCAGAGTTCTAGTTGATGTTCGAGGTCAAGTTGAAGGAAGTATGAAGGAACATATCTTAAATAACATAGCACCACAGATGCCTGGTAGGTTCTGTTTAATTCTACTTAAATAAGAAAGCAACTTACTGTCTAGATGTGGGTTGTGTATCTGAAACAGCAGCATGAATTGAATCATGTTCTGATAGATTTGAATTGTTATGGCCTACTAGTAAATACACACAGGTCTACAGTGTGAAATAAAGATATCCAAGGGACGTAACTTGTTAAATGCAGATTGCTTACTGTTTAAATTAAAGTCAACTCTAACATAACAACTAGGTTTTCAACTAATTTTACCTTTTTTTTTTACAGAACATAATCAGATCAACATCATTGTTATTATAAATAAGTTTTTTTTTTTAATTTTAGCACACATCAGAGAACCTTTTATAGATGGAGTGATAAATGGAAGATTAAGAACAATGCCAAACAGTTTCTTACCTCCGTCACCTATAGAGAAACCAGGTGTCTTGGTGATAGGTGACGCCTTTAATATGAGACATCCTTTAACGGGAGGTGGTATGTCTGTAGCCCTGAATGATGCTGTTATATGGAGAGATTTACTTAAAACTATTCCTGATCTTACAAATTATGAAGAATTAATTACAGCTTCCAGAGTATTTCAGTTACGTAGAAAACAGACCCATTCATTTGTTGTGAATGTTTTAGCCCAGGCTCTGTATGAATTGTTTGCTGCTAGTGATGGTAAGTATCAGAGTTGTGGCCCTTGTTGGTCTGAAAAAGGGTTATTTCGATATTTAGCTTATAACTATTGTGCTAGATATCAGTAGTGAGACAGGGGGAGTTACTCTTCTAGGACAAGATTTGTTGAAATTCTGTTTATTTGTGTTTAATCACTATAAATTGTGATCAGTATGTTTCAGAAAATCACTTTAAGTTTTGTCTGCGATACTGCTCAAAGGCAAGGCCTGACTGTCTGTAATTTTGGACAACTGGACATCCCTGGACAGTCTATTTTATTATATTAACATGAATCTTATCAATATATATTATTGTATATTTCAGTACATCTACATAGTTTAAAACGAGCTTGTTTTGAATATTTTAAACTGGGAGGAGAATGTGTTAATGGTCCAGTAGGATTACTCTCAGTGTAAGTTAAGATATGTAATATATCCAGACTAACCTGAGACTAGTAATATTAATATTCTGTTTAATCAATGTTTGACTGACAAATCAAAACTTCTTTTACTTTCTATTAGATTCTGTTACAATTCAATCTTGTCATTAATCTCAGCAGTGGAAATTTGTAACCATACAGTAGCTAGTAGTTTCAACTTTTCTATATCACCTTCTTCTTATCTATAATATTAAAATATTTAATTATTTTCTATTTTCAGATTAACACCGAAACCACATTTATTAATTGGACATTTCTTTGCAGTGGCAATGTACGCTATTTTATCAGTGATACGGAGTGAACCATTCTGGGCTGTACATAGAGTACTATATAGATCTTTTATGATCTTCTACAAGGCTTGTGGAGTTATCTTTCCTTTAATTTGGACTGAAGTGAAAGGTTTACTAGTATAACATATTTTATGATCTTCTACAAGGCTTGTGGAGTTATCTTTCCTTTAATTTGGACTGAAGTGAAAGGTTTACTAGTATAACATATTTTATGAGTGAACTATCATTGAAGAGAAATACTTATTTATGATGCGACTCCAAAACTTGATGTGATATTGGTGTATCAATATTTACTGATAAGCTGAAAGCTCAATTTCAGCTTTCTGTATAGTTGTCTACATACTTGCTTTGAGAGATATTTACCATATCAGGTGACAGAGCTCAATCTCAGCTACAGGCTTAGACTGTCTATTATATTGGTAAAATGGACTTGACACCTACAAGCCTGCCAGCTTGATTTTTTATTCTGAAAACTGATACAGATATTAAAATACAAACTCTATCAGCTGGGGATGAGCCAGTGTAAGGAATTCTTCTATATGTATAAACTGACAGTGCCTTTATTTTTATTGTCAACCTCTAAATGCTGTTTCTGTTTTTAAATGTGTCAGTTTTTATTTTACCTAAGTCAAAATAGGAGATATGTTTCTCCCTGCCAAACTTTTTTTTTTTTTTTAATTAATGTTGTCAAAATTTTTGTTTTTCTCCTGTTTTTGTCATAGTAAATTGTACTTAGGGTTAGATTGTGGCTAAAGATTGATGTTGCTATGTCATTTTAAGTTGAGGATAGCTTTCTTTTTGCCAAACTCTTTTCACTTTTTGTCATAAACTTAATGTGGAAGACATTTTAGATTTTCTATCTGTATATCAGTTGATATTGTTATTATTTCATTCTAAGACTGTATTTAAGATTTTAATTGTTTATGTGGAAATGATTTTTTTGTAACCATGGCGATACTCTGTATTTAAATTGTTGTTATTGTTTTATTAGATCTATATTTAATGATACTATTAAATCAATTTAATCTTCATGTTATCTCCACTTTTTAGTTTGTGGTAAAATGGGACCACTATTTTGTTGATGATTCAAAAAATTCAAAAATTGTGTTACATTGAATCACTCTTTGATAATTATGTTTCTTGTATCTCCCCTTCTTTTCCCCTTCTCTCCCCCTTTTCTCACCCCCCTTTTCTCACCCTTCCTTTCACCTTTATCATGTTCCTTTATTACTTCCCTTGTTGAAGCCAGATACTCACCATTCCTTCCCCCTACCCTCCAATCTATATCTCTCAGTATGTTTAGTGATACAATAGGTCTCAGTAGGAAATTTGAGATGATATACTGAGTTTATTTTAACTCAAGTTATTATGGTTGTTTTAACGTCTTCTTGTTATTGTTATAGTCTATATTCTCAAATAAATATTCAGAAAACAAATTTAGTTTTCATTTATATGGTCCGAGGTAAAGCAGACTAATTTGGATTGCACCCCCACCCTCTCCTCCCTGGGGTTCCCCTAGCAACGCCACTGTTTTATCATAGACTTTACTCGGGTGTGTTTTTAGAGTTCACACAAAACGGGACTTGACTTTATGAAATGTTACAGATGTATAAGTGTGTTTTTGTCTCTTTTCTCCACGGCTCATTATATATATATTATTGTGATGAAGTCAAAATTTTTCTGGAAACGAAGGTCAAGAATGTCGTCGGTACAGAAAAAGAAGAGAGAATTTTATCTTCAGAATTTGAAATAGGTCGAGTTAAACAAAATCTACAACTTGTGTTGCGTCTACATATTATTGTTTGTTGTTTCAACTTGTTGTTAGTCTGCCCTGACAGTAAAACAACACAAATACCTGTCTTTTTTTACCTTGTACATAGTTAACTAGAATACACCCATCTGACAGGTATCAAGGATTCTATTCAGCACATAAACGATAGTCATACCAGCTGATAGAGCTCAATTTTAGCTATCTGTATAGTCATCAAAATATTTACTTTACCAGCTGATAGAGTTCCATTTCAGCTATCTGTATAGTCATCTAAATATTTACTTTACCAGCTGATAGAGCTCAATTTTAGCTATCTGTATAGTCATCTAAATATCTACTTTACCAGCTGATAGAGCTCAATTTTAGCTATCTGTATAGTCATCTAAATATCTACTTTACCAGCTGATAGAGCTCAATTTTAGCTATCTGTATAGTCATCTAAATATTTACTTTACCAGCTGATAGAGCTCAATTTTAGCTATCTGGATAGTCATCTTAATATCTACTTTACCAGCTAATAGAGCTTAATTTTAGCTATCTGTATAGTCATCTAAATATTTACTTTACCAGCTGATAGAGATCAATTTTAGCTATCTGTATAGTCATCTAAATATTTACTTTACCAGCTGATAGAGCTCAATTTTAGCTATCTGTATAGTCATCTAAATATTTACTTTACCAGCTGATAGAGCTCAATTTTAGCTATCTGTATAGTCATCTAAATATTTACTATACCAGCTGATAGAGCTCAATTTTAGCTATCTGTATAGTCATCTAAATATTTACTTTACCAGCTGATAGAGCTCAATTTTAGCTATCTGTATAGTCATCTAAATATTTACTATACCAGCTGATAGAGCTCAATTTTAGCTATCTGTATAGTCATCTAAATATTTACTTTACCAGCTGATAGAGCTCAATTTTAGCTATCTGTATAGTCATCTAAATATTTACTTTACCAGCTGATAGAACTCAATTTTAGCTATCTGTATAGTCATCTAAATATTTACTATACCACCTAATAGAGCTCAATTTTAGCTATCTGTATAGTCATCTAAATATTTACTTTACCAGCTGATAGAGCTCAATTTCAGCTATCTGTATAGTCATCTAAATATTTACTTTAACAGCTGGTAGAACTCAATTTCAGCTATCTGTATAGTCATCTAAATATTAACTTTGCCAGCTGATAGAACTCAATTTCAGCTATCTGTAATGACAGGCAGGGGGTAAAAAGAAAGGAACCTCTGACTACGGGAAGATGCTGAACGTGTAGAATGAGTAAAATGACAGATTGGTAATATTTACATGTAGTCTAATATTGACAGGTAAAAAACTTCTCAGGTAAATATCAACAAACAAAATATCTCTATTGTTTCTACTTCAGCTAGATTTACTTATTCAACTTTCTGATCATTGTACAGAATTGGAATTTGTCTTTGTATATGTATACGTCCGTGGTGTTCCTGTAATCTAAACAACCTTTAATTGATCCTGACTATTTCAACTATATTCAAGCCAAATTTATCAATTTATCTATAAGAGTCTATGTAAGAGACTATGTAAGAGACTATGTAAGAGACTATGTAAGAGACTATGTAAGAGTCTATGTAAGTGTCTATGTAAGAGTCTATGTAAGAGTCTATGTAAGAGACTATGTAAGAGACTATGTAAGAGTCTATGTAAGAGACTATGTAAGAGACTATGTAAGAGACTATGTAAGAGTCTATGTAAGAGACTATGTAAGAGACTATGTAACAGTCTATGTAAGAGACTATGTAAGAGTCTATGTAAGAGTCTATGTAAGAGTCTATGTAAGATACTATGTAAGAGACTATGTAAGAGACTATGTAACAGACTATGTAACAGTCTATGTAAGAGTCTATGTAAGAGACTATGTAAGAGTCTATGTAAGAGACTATGTAAGAGACTAGGTAAGAGACTAGGTAAGAGACTATGTAAGAGTCTATGTAAGAGTCTATGTAAGAGACTATGTAAGAGTCTATGTAAGAGACTATGTAAGAGTCTATGTAAGAGACTATGTAAGAGACTATGTAAGAGACTATGTAAGAGACTATGTAAGAGACTATGTAAGAGTCTATGTAAGAGACTATGTAACAGTCTATGTAACAGTCTATGTAAGAGACTATGTAAGAGACTATGTAAGAGACTATGTAAGAGTCTATGTAAGAGTCTATGTAAGAGACTATGTAAGAGTCTATGTCAGAGACTATGTAAGAGACTATGTAAGAGACTATGTAAGAGACTATGTAAGAGTCTATGTAAGAGTCTATGTAAGAGACTATGTAAGAGACTATGTAAGAGACTATGTAAGAGACTATGTAAGAGACTATGTAAGAGACTATGTAAGAGACTATGTAAGAGTCTATGTAAGAGTCTATGTAAGAGACTATGTAAGAGTCTATGTAAGAGTCTATGTAAGAGACTATGTAAGAGTCTGTGTAAGAGACTATGTAAGAGACTATGTAAGAGACTATGTAAGAGACTATGTAAGAGTCTATGTAAGAGACTATGTAAGAGTCTATGTAACAGACTATGTAAGAGTCTATGTAAGAGACTATGTAAGAGACTATGTAAGAGTCTATGTAAGAGTCTATGTAAGAGTCTATGTAAGAGACTATGTAAGAGACTATGTAAAAGACTGTGTAAGAGACTATGTAAGAGACTATGTAAGAGACTATGTAAGAGACTATGTAAGAGTCTATGTAAGAGACTATGTAAGAGACTATGTAAGAGTCTATGTAAGAGTCTATGTAAGAGACTATGTAAGAGTCTATGCAAGAGACTATGTAAGAGACTATGTAAGAGACTATGTAAGAGTCTATGTAAGAGTCTATGTAAGAGTCTATGTAAGAGTCTATGTAAGAGTCTATGTAAGAGACTATGTAAGAGACTATGTAAGAGACTATGTAAGAGTCTATGTAAGAGTCTATGTAAGAGACTATGTAAGAGTCTATGTAAGAGTCTATGTAAGAGACTATGTAAGAGACTATGTAAGAGACTATGTAAGAGTCTATGTAAGAGTCTATGTAAGAGACTATGTAAGAGACTATGTAAGAGTCTATGTAAGAGACTATGTAAGAGACTATGTAAGAGACTATGTAAGAGTCTATGTAAGAGACTATGTAAGAGTCTATGCAAGAGACTATGTAAGAGACTATGTAAGAGACTATGTAAGAGTCTATGTAAGAGTCTATGTAAGAGACTATGTAAGAGTCTATGTAAGAGTCTATGTAAGAGACTATGTAAGAGACTATGTAAGAGACTATGTAAGAGACTATGTAAGAGACTATGTAAGAGACTATGTAAGAGTCTATGTAAGAGTCTATGTAAGAGACTATGTAAGAGTCTATGTAAGAGTCTATGTAAGAGACTATGTAAGAGACTATGTAAGAGTCTATGTAAGAGACTATGTAACAGTCTATGTAAGAGTCTATGTAAGAGACTATGTAAGAGTCTATGTAAGAGTCTATGTAAGAGACTGTGTAAGAGTCTATGTAAGAGACTATGTAAGAGACTATGTAAGAGACTATGTAAGAGACTATGTAAGAGACTATGTAAGAGTCTATGTAAGAGACTATGTACGAGACTATGTAAGAGACTATGTAAGAGACTATGTAAGAGTCTATGTAAGAGACTATGTAAGAGTCTATGTAAGAGTCTATGTAAGAGTCTATGTAAGAGACTAGGTAAGAGACTATGTAAGAGTCTATGCAAGAGACTATGTAAGAGACTAGGTAAGAGTCTAGGTAAGAGACTATGTAAGAGACTATGTAAGAGTCTATGTAAGAGACTATGTATGAGACTAGGTAAGAGACTATGTAAGAGACTATGTAAGAGACTATGTAAGAGACTATGTAAGAGACTATGTAAGAGACTAGGTAAGAGTCTAGGTAAGAGTTAGCAAGTTTCAAACTAGCTGGTAGCTGTTGAACAATTACTTTCAGAGAACTCCTTTCGTAGAATTGACCGACTATAACCACCAACTATAATCAGTTACTTTAATCCAACTATTTAGATCGACGACTAGATTCCCTTTTGGTAAGAGGTAGATCATGATCAATAATGGATGGCAACTGTGATATTATTAAGGTCGATGGTCGATGGATCAGATGTTGTCAGATGATACAACAGTCGTTGAAAAATCAATTGTTTTAGATTCCAGTAGGCATCTGTCCACATTTACAGTCAGCAAATTTCCGACATAAAACTAGAATGTTAAGATGCCTTAATGATTTAAACCATTAAAAGACTTGACAATAGTGTATGTACCTGACTCTGGGAATGACAAGGTGAAAACTGTTTGAATATTTTTACTGGATGATAGAAACTGGAATCTACACAATGTGTACAACACCACGCGTTCTCCATTCTACACCAGGTAAATATTTAACTTTCTAAAGGTACAACAAGCAAAGACCAGCCGAAATCACACACAGTATTGAACTCTGTTATCATCAGGTGTTGATTTCTAATTGTTTCATATCGATAACTTCATTGTGTACATCTATTGATTTTTAAAAGTAAAACTAACATTGAAAAATCGAAGATCTGACTTGATAAGACAAATATATTTTCTACATAAATTTTACCAATTTGCTCTCCGACATTCAAGATTTAGTGAAATTTTCATGTTGCTGTTAATTTCTGGATTTAGTGCTTTACAATTCAGAGAGTTCCAGATTTTTGGTATCATACAAGAGTGTTAAAAGCGAAACGTAGTGCAAAGTACAATGGATCAAGATATGAGAAGATTATCATGAAATATAAATGTGACGAGGTTCCTATATCATGGTAAGAAATGCTAAACTTACGACAGAAATGAACTGAAAGCAACTGGGTCTTCAACGACTGCCAATCGATCTGAGAATACCAACTACAGGAAATTGCTATCAGTTACCATCAGTTGATCATGTTCTTGTTCGGGAACAGTGATGCTAATTTTCAGCATTGGGTCGGGCAAGGGATCGAGTCAAAAACATGCCGAGTATTCTACAATTTCAACTCTGTTCACTGAGATCGGTAAATCTGAGCGGAGTTTTGAAAATTAACCCTTTATAAACCCGGCATTTTCATGACCAACTTTATATCCAAAACATATGGCGACAAATATAAGTTAAAACTAAGAATTTCATTTCAGGATTCTACTATATACATTCTCGTGGTGATACTCGGCATCTGTCACTATGGTAACGGGTATCCTGGTGGGGCACCCGACTCGGCGTGTGGAGCGATGTTTCCCTCGGGTCACTCTGCACCACCCCAGGGATCGTCACCCCCATATAGAATAATTCTGGCCAAGAAAACCTATTCTCCTGGTGAAACAGTCAAAGGTAACGGATTCTTTTTTTTCTTTATCACACAGTGAGTCGCACTGAGAAAAATGTCGACACTTTCTGAAACCTGTTTTTTAAAGATGTTTTCTAGCCTTTACATATTGTATATCACGAAGAATTACAACATCTAATCGTACAGTTCTGATTCCAATGTTTGTGAAATTTCTGAAAAAGTTCACCTGATTTATAACATCACTACCAGCTGGTATTTATAATCTGTTTTACTGTAACTAAATGTAGGAGAAATTAGAATCTGTGATAGAAAAGAATACACAATGTTTGATTGCCACAATCAATAATAAAGAATATATAATTTGTTGAATTTCAGTGATAATCGAGGCGAAGAAGGGACATTATTTTAAGGGAATTTTGCTTCAGGCTAGAAATATCGGCTGTAACGTAAACGGATCGGATATAGTCGGAGTTTTTACAGCCAATGATAATGAACTAGAAACTAAACATTGTTTTGGAAAAGTTCATGTAAGTTATTTTGTTGTCTTGTTTGATTAATATTTTGTTGATTGAATTAGTTCTTGTCTGACTTGTCAATTATAGAATAAATACGATGACAGTTATTGGTATAAAGATTAAAATAAAATAAATGATTAAAACTGCAAGATCAATACTATTACATGTATCTTGGATTTCAAACAGGTTATTACAAAAATCGATCAGTTAGAATCCCCCACCCCCTCCTCTCCCTCTCCCCTCTCATATATTCTAAATTTTGAGTTTTATTTTACAGTCATCTGTCACTCATAATTCCAACTCGCCAAAAAGAACGAAGTTTATTTATTGGACGGCACCTGTTCATTCTGCCGGTCACGTTATAATACGGTATGTAGATTCCAAGAATTAAACTGTAGACTTGTTTTTAAAGTAACAAAACAGATAATGTGGTGCCACTCTGCACCTCGGTTTTCATCTTTACTAGCAGAGTTTCTGCGAAAGTTATAAAGTTTATAAAATGGAGATCTGGATGTTTTGTTTTTCTGCAGGTTACTGTACTACCCTGGTGTACAGTTTATATCTCATGTACATCTACTGTATTATTTATACGATACATGTTGACTTAATCACTTAGTAAACTTCTCCCATCTCAGTCTAATGAAATAAAATAAAGATCCAGTGTATACTAATGATCGTGGACTTGTTTTTACAGGGCAACGCTAGTAGAAGATACGAGCACGTTTTGGATTAATGTAGTCTCGGATATATTGGTAGACCTCCATTCTAGAGACACACCTAAATGTATTCAATCAACAGTGTTTCCTATATTTCCTGTAAAAGGTGTAGCTTATAGTGGTGTTTATAGTGCGGCCAGTACTCGGAAATATACAGTATATGAATTGATGACTATTCTAGTAACTTGCTACGTGATAAACCTATCTAAGTGAATACACCGACAAGTTAAGTAAACTGAAGATACTTACTTTTGTTCTGGGGACGATTAAAATCATAAACACCAGAGAAATCTGCTTTATTTACAAATAATCTAAATGTGACCGTAGAACAATATCTAGACTTGATCAACCTAGACTTATCAACGAATATATTGATCTTACACAGAACTAGTTCTTCAGGACCTTGCGACTTACAAAATCTTAAACAGCAACCGGGTTTTTACCGCCGTTTATCAACTATTGGTATCTGCAGGAATCTTATCAATGACTGAAAACACTCAAATAAAGCTCACCAACGACTGAACCGACGATTTGTAGCAAAATAGAATCTTGTTGAATCTGCGGCGTCGCAGTTGATCGTAGGTATGAGGGATTTGTTCATGACGGCTGTGACTGAGTCTATAATTTGACTTACAGTCACAATTTATGGTGAACATATAAAAAATATTCTGAATATTTAGCACTATACTAATTGTATAAAATATAGCAATGGGTAAAATGGTGTAGGGAATTTTTATAGTTTTTAGTAATCAAAATAAATTGTTTTATTACTTATTTTTTCTGTTAATATATCAACATCAGAGAAGATTATTGAAATATCTGTGTTGAATTAACCCAAGGGATGGTCTGCAACCTGTATCTTTAGGTCTGAAGCCATTGAGTTGCCTCCATCATCAAACCTTGCAGGTAGCAGACCGACATGTTCGCCACAAATGTGAATTGATTGATGTAATATTGACGAAGTAAACTTGGTGTGTATATTTCCCGACCCCAGGGTCAGGCCAACCTAACAGAGGTTAACAGAGAATGTCATGAATCAGTGAAGAAGAGGAAACTAATTGTGTTGACACTCCGAGTGTTAGATACCATTCTAGAAACAATATATACATATCTTGCTACATCGTCATCTTACTGTGTGTTTATTTGTCTTACTGTGTGTATTTGTCTTACTGTGTGTATTTGTCTTACTGTTTATTTGTGTGTTAATTTGTCTTACTATGTTTATTTGTGTGTTAATTTGTCTTACTATGTTTATTTGTGTGTTAATTTGTCTTACTATGTTTATTTGTGTGTTAATTTGTCTTACTATGTTTATTTGTGTGTTAATTTGTCTTACTATGTTTATTTGTGTGTTAATTTGTCTTACTATGTTTATTTGTGTGTTAATTTGTCTTACTATGTTTATTTGTGTGTTAATTTGTCTTACTATGTTTATTTGTGTGTTAATTTGTCTTACTATGTTTATTTGTGTGTTAATTTGTCTTACTATGTTTATTTGTGTGTTTATTTGTGATCACAGTGCAGTGTAAAGGATATAAGAGTCGAGGATATATTTGTCGGCTTCAGGATAATGAAAATATATCTTCCTTTTTTTATCCGTATTGTTCGTTGATTTACACTCCAACACTATTCATTATACATCACGTAATTCGCAACGTTTCATTAATTTACATTTTAGCACAGTAGTATTTCATTGCATTCAACTACACAAAGATTATATATCTATGCAACGTTTCAAAAAAGGTGGAATACACCGTAGGCCTATGTACAGAACAATATTATTTGGGACTTACAACGGACTGCTACCAGACTATCGTGTCCACATGTAGAACTGTGCACATTTTTTCACAAATACTGACTCAGGGGCAGTTATAGTTCAGAGTTCAGGGTTCAGATTTTTCTGCTTTCAATTCATCGTCTTCGTCATCATCATCACCAGAATCCGAGTCGTCGCTAGTACAACCTTCTAGTCTTCTAGACGCAATATCAGCTTCAGCTCTACAATAAAACATCAAACCTATATCAGAGTCCCCTCAAAGAGGAACGTTACAGAGAATGGAGAATGGAAGACAAAATCATCAACATTTGGTTTGTGGTTTTGAGAGGAGTAAGGTTAGGAGCTGGGGAAATATAACTTATATAAATCAAATACTCAATACTCAATCTTGCTCTTCTATTGTCAAAACATTTATTATACAAAAAATATTGGCTCTAACTTAAAAATATTTCTCAATGTAAAATGATTTATAAAATTAAAAGTGGGTTCCAAGGCCAGTCTAGTCTCAATTCAGAAGGAACCCTCGTGATACCTTCTGTTACTACTCTCTACTTACTGTGCCAGATATTTGACTGTTTCAGCATGACCATAAATAACAGCGATCCGCCTGGGTTTATCACCATATTTATCTTTTCTATTAACTGGTATATTAGCTGTATGTAGAGCTCTGAGAGCTGCTGTTCTTCCAGCCTCGGCAGCAGAATGAGCTGGTGTCCAACCCTCATCAGTTCGACTTGTTCCTTTAGCTCCATAATCTAATAATATTCTCACACATTCTGAATAACCTGCAATATTTTAACATTAGAGGGTCTTCAACAGGTTTGTGTTGGTGATGATCTGATGATGCGGTTGCTACGGACACTTTTCTGGGGTAACGCTTTAGGGGATTGACAGTACAAGTAAGTATTGTTCCCGATTTCAAATGTTGAGTTTTTAGTCGAGATATGCCTGTTTGTGAAGTAGTATGTCAAATGAGCCAGAAATAAAAATGTCTTATGAAAGTCCCTTATTATAAGGTAGTCAGCCTGTAACTAGGGGAATGCAAGCAGAAGGCTGAGATGAAAGCCTTTTCTTATTCATACCTTATGTGAATAATATATTAGTCACGTGTCCAAGAGTACAAGATAAGATCCTACCTCTTGCACAGGCCCAGTGTAAAGCTGTTTTCTTGTGATATTCTACATCTTTCAGGTTCACGTTAAATTTTTTAGTCTTGAGAAAATCTTCTAAAGCTTCGTGATCTCCAGTAGCCGCTGCTTCATGAATTTCTAAACCAGCCATCTTTTATCAGAGTAATTTACTGTCATTTAAACACCGAATCTGGAAATACAGTAATCGTCAGTCCAACAATACATCAACAATAAGAAACGAGACGATATGACATCATACCATAAAATCCTACTTTTCTAATCCAGTGGTAACGAGACGATAGAATAAATAGCCCAATACTTGACCAGCCATGTCTGGTATCAATGAATGACTATTTACCAGTTAAAGTTTTAATACTATTTTCAATCAACAATCAAGTATATTTTAAACCTTTTATTTGTCACGATGTTTTCAATATGATTGAATCTTAAGATTAAATTAATCCTTCTCCACTTGAGACATTTTATAACATATCGTGAACTTTGCTATAATCTTTTCTTCCCGTTTCTATTCTAGACTTATTGTAAGGTACCTATTTAACTTCCCTCGTTCCACTTGAGACCTATATTATAAGCTACTAGGATTTATGATTAAAATAATCTTTATATCCGTTTCTATTATAGGCTGATTGTTTCTAATAATTATATGATTAATCTTTTACCCGATATCGCCCCACTTGAGACCTATTAGGAGATGATTACATGGTTGTCCCCTTTCAGTCTCTACTCCAGACAAATGGATTACCAAAACAATATATTCTAGCCGAACTGAACAAAATGTAAAGGACTTATTCGACCCTAAAATAGATTATTTGCTACCTGCGTCTAACCAGTTCGACTATAGCCCTATTCCTACTAGGAGACCAGTACGAAGTATACTGGTAAAGCGGCCAACTAGTACCCCTAATTATACCAGATTTTACCAATGTTTATTTGGCCTAATCATACCTGATTTTAACAATGTTTATTTGGCCTAAACATACCTGTATTATATCGAAATATTTAAACGTCCTTGTTCAATATATAATAATAAATACCGGGTTACAGCAAGGTGAACTGTTGTGACCCTACCTATTATAGTGGTGTGTAAATCAAGTAGAACTCGTGTTAGTTCAATATATCTCAATAGTCAAATAGAAATGATGGTAGCGTGCCTAGCAACTGGTATTTGATAAGATAGACAAGTCATTTACTTAAAATATTATTTACATATTCATACTCGACTTTAATAGTTTATACAATTTATATATATGTTTACCCGTGATTGTTAACATAGAAATTTATCTCATCAGACGTCCACCAGTCCAACATACACCTCAAGTTCAATTTCCTACCCGATACACATTCCATCTCGATACAGGACTCTTCAGCCCCAGTGGACCTTTCTATTTTTCGGCGATGTATAGGAGAAACTCTTGTACAAGAGAAAAATTTCTTACCACAAGATAAATATAATTCAACTAGAATACTCACCGTTTAAAATGTGGATATTATCAGGGTTATGATAACCACTAGTAACAGCTATCTCTGTCTTTCTTATCAGGCTATACGAGTGTCGTTCTTTATATCATATTTTCATGGAACCAAGGTTTTATTCCGTTCAACAAGAAATAAAATTCCACCACACACCAGACTACTCACTGTTTAAACTTTATATAATATTACAATAATAATAAAAATATCAACGAGTATAAAGAGTCTGTTGTATTGATCACCTTCACGACTTCCCCAGTCTATTGTTAATCAATCAATCAGTCAGTCTTTATATCGATCTATTGATCTCTTATGATTGACTTTAATATCTACTAGCTTCGATTATCACACAATACTACACCTACTGGTATTTTATTGATTGCGATTAACAAGACGTTAAATTCTTAGTTACAAATTGAACACAAGACCTATATAATGACGATAGCGATTGGAAGCCGATTCTCGTTAGACATGACGGAGGATTCAAACCCATGGCTCGAGGCTAGCAGACGGCAATCTTAGGTACAGACTGAAAGGGCAAAAATTACGAAAATGAGCTGAAAAAAAGCTTATGGGTTTTTTTTGGAGGGATGATCATCTCATTCCTTGGAACCTCAAATTCTTGTGAACATGGTCATTTGATTGGTTGAATGGTGAACATTCCTTTATCAACAATGTCTCCAGATCGTAGAATGAGTGAAGCAACTTACAAAAAACAAAATATCTAGCGCTATGTTTTAATCAGATTGTAAAAGGACATTATTGTACTGTACATAACAAAAATTAACATAACATAGATTTCAGTATTTATATAGTACACTGAATAAATATACAGAGGCAGGATAAATATATATTATATAAATATACAGTAGACTGATATATACAATACATGGTTTTCTGTATTATCATTATATCTATAACTATCTACACTATACAGTATATCATATGATAATGACATGATAGAGATACACAACTCTAGATATCTGGGAATTTAGATTTAAAGACTGTCAGCTGGAATATAAATAATAAAAACTTAAATTAAATGACTTCCTTCCAATATTGCTATCACACTTTCATTCATTTCATTTTACAAATCATTAACTACAAAAAAATCATCTAATCAAAGGTTTCATTACTGACTTGAGAAGATTTTACACGAAGTGACAGAGAAAGTGTTTATTATAATCTAGAGAAAGAGTCTGAAATCTACACCTTCTTACATCTTATACCAACTTGTTAAATCATGGAAAATTTAAAATTTCTGTAAAATAAAGATAAATTATATCTACCTCTTTTTCAGCCAATTTCTTCTTCATTAACATAGTCTGAGCTTTCTGAATTTCACCAACTTTCGTCAGTTGAACAGCTTCCTGAGAAAATGCTGGGATTTCTTTTTGTAACAGTAACAAGTATTCTGAAATATGTATTGAATAAATCAACATCTATAACCTGTAGTGTACAATGAGGGAAACTGATTTACCACTGCATACAGATCTTTCAACAGCATTACATTGGAGAAAAGCCATTAATCTTCAAGTTAGCCAGCCAGTGTTTAGCTTGCTGAACTACACCAGCACCATTGTCAATCATCTTCAAAATAACAGGCTATAAAACCCTTGGAATGAATCTACCATCTGAACCTTCAGGTAGCAGAATGATGTCAGAATCATTTCTATGGATTCTGACCATTCAGAACTGAAAATAAATACCAATAGTTCACTACTAACCTTTAATAGCACCCTTTCCACCTTCACGTAAATATTTCTGTTGTAATTCAACTTTTTCTAGTAACAACGAACTCTTCTGTTTTAAAGTCTGAGTTTGTAGTTCTGTTAAACTGTCTTTTAAAGCTTCAATCTGAAAAATAAAATCCAAGCCTTAGACAAGAGATTCATAGAAAGAAATACATTTAAAGTAAATATACCCTTTAAAAACAGAGGATTCATTCCTACAGCACAACTGAGCCATACATTTTGTTTATAGACAGTCTGGTGACTCTCTTTGCTTAGCTCATACACCAATAATCCCAAGTGTCAAAAGATAACCACATTTCCTGATAAGGATTGTTTATCTGAAGCATGTGTTGTCAGTATAAAATAAGATGAATCAAAATAATATAAAACCTGTTTATCTAGCTGTTGTTTTTCAAATTTTAAAACTTCCATACTTGTTGAACCTTCACTGAAATACAGAAATATCAAATTCATTACAAATTGACAAACTTTATCACAACTTTTATATTTTCTTGAAAGTCAGGGATGTTCTATATACAGGCTAATTATAAAATAAAATTTGAATGTTATACTATTATACTTCAATAGCAACATTGATCAACTACAGTTAATAGATATAGTCTGTATCACACAGGACTTCTGTTTACTGTCCTATCTAAAACACAAGACACTTTATTAGTGTAATAAGTCTGTACAACTTGATTAGGATAATTATAGAACCAAATGAAATTCGATACCTACAGCAGTATTTTTATCAGATTTATTAAAAATATTCAAAATCCAATTTTATTTTTTAATCAACAACAAAAACAATTCAGCAAAACATCAATTTTGATTTGTTTGAATAATACAATATAACTAACAATTCTCACAGAATGTTGAAAAACATTAAAATCAACAGATCAATTTTGCACACATAATTTGAGGTATTTCAAGAAATAAAAACAATTCCGACAAATCACTGAAAAATTCAAACAAAAATAAAATATGGCACTTCTTTAGAGAAATATATCACTGTAACTTGAACTAAATTAGTTCTCATTTGGACGGAAAACAGATGCAAAAACTATTTAATTATCACACCAAAAAATTACAAAATCATAAAACAATATAAATTGTATATCAAATAAAAAATTACACACTGTCTGATGTATACAAATATTAAAAACACTGAAGTCACAGTATAAATAAATACAAGCTTTTAGTCATGTTTAATATGGTTAATCATTTCAATAATAGTAAGAAAATTGGAATGATACAAATTGATGATGTCAGTATCCCTGATGCACATATAAAATATAAAAAAACTTCTTTATTATCTCTTTAAATCATTCTTTAAGTATATTAATATAAAACTCATGAGATCAAATATAACTAGAATTATAGTTCACTCTGATTATTATTAATAATAGAACTCTACTTTCTAAACCAGCTAATAGATTGTCAAGATGATTTGTTGGTAAATAGTTTAAATATTAATATATGATTACTATAATCTTCTAACACCAATACCAAATAATAATCAATGATAGATATAATAACACCAGTACCATATTAAACTACCCCAATACACATACACTTGATTTGGAAATTCTGTTAAAGAGACGAAATAAAAATCTTTTAGATTCAAGATGATATTTTCAAAATATGATATTAATTTTTTGAAAGTATACGTGACTCAGAGATGATGCAAGTCATGTTTTATTGTGAATTATTAAATTTGTTTTAAGTTTATATCTTATTAACTTTTACACATATTTACAAAAACAATTTGGTAAAAAAAAATCTAAACAGAGTATTTTATGGCAGACTTTTTAAAAATATTTATAATAACTTTAATCTATTAGTGAAATACACATCAAACTAAAAGCACAATTAGAAATATAAAGATAAACCAAATAGTGTATGTGTAATGGTGTTTATAGATAGAGGGAATCAGACAGGGGGGTGCTTCCTGGCAACCAACAAAACACAAAACAAAACTCTCGTTACAACCTGACCAAACAGAGAAGAGATAGAAAAAACCTTGAAAAATAAAATTTTACTCACTTCTTTGGTTTTGGTGCCTGAAAGGAGAAAATGGATTTGGCATGAAAAATAAATACAAGTACAAGTTGTTGCCCTTGAGTTGAAAAACATTCATTTTATGTTTTGGAATCAGAACACAACATCCTTTGTGAGAAGAAATCCTTGCATAAGTTATTCAAGCTTTTTTCTTTTTATTAGTTGAATTTAACAAAATGAAGAAAATATAAATTTGAATATTCTTACTTGTACATGACTCTGAAAGAAAAAAGAAACATAATTTATAAATACAGTAAAAATAGAACAGAAATTCTATTTATAATTCTATGGTGTTTTCTGTAAGAACTGGTCTGAATAATCTAGACTGTAGTCACCTCTACTGATTTCGTTAATATATAATATTATTACATTAAATTAATTTGTATCAGCTGACTAGAGGGAATAATTAAATAACTCTATATCTATAATTTAACAATTCATCACACGTAAAACACTAAACTGGAGTTGTTATTTCAACTAACCTTGGAGGCAGCCGTTCTTAAAAACTGGTCAATTATCAGCCATTTCTCTTTCACTTCTTCAACTTGTTTACTTTTAACAGGATCTCGAATTCTCATTTTAACTTCTAATTTCCCTCCAACTGATTTTCTTCCATCCATTAACTATAATTATTTTAACATCTTTTACTAACTAACTCTAGGTTTGGTCGAAAAAATTAGGTGGTCAAAAAATCAGACTGGCCCTATTGTGGTATTTTTCTATGTCAAATGTCACCTTGTCTTGTGCCGGACTCCATTGGTTAGAATCACTACTCAATAACAATAAGTTGTCTTTCAGTTTTATTAATCTGTCTAGGAATATCCTGAGAACAGGTTTATTATAAACAGGATGGTAATAACTTACATCATAACTGTCATGTATTTCACATTTACTTTCTAATGGTTGTAATTTAATATTAATACTTCCTAATAACTTCTCACTTTTAAAAAAACCCCTGAAAAAATAACATAAAAACATTTCTTTAAAATACCTGTATTTATATCTCAACCAGTATTTATATCTCAACCAGTATTTATATCTCAACCAGTATTTATATCTCAACATGTATTTATATCTCAACCAGTATTTATATCTCAACCTGTATTTATATCTCAACCAATATTTATATATCAACCTGTATTTATATCTCAACCAGTATTTATATCTCAACATGTATTTATATCTCAACCAGTATTTATATCTCAACCAGTATTTATATTTCAACCTGTATTTATATCTCAACCAATATTTATATATCAACCTGTATTTATATCTCAACCAGTATTTATATCTCAACCAGTATTTATATCTCAACCAGTATTTATATCTCAACCAGTATTTATATCTCAACATGTATTTATATCTCAACATGTATTTATATCTCAACCTGTATTTATATCTCAACCAGTATCTATATCTCAACCTGTTTTTATATATCAACCTGTATTTATATCTCAACCTGTATCTATATCTCAACCTGTACTTATATCTTAACCAGTATTTATATTTCAACCAGTATTTTGTGATCAGGGAGAATTTATGTACATTAAGGTCTGTACAATGTTTGTACACATTTTCAAGTGGTCAATCAGAAATATTTTGCACTTGAAAAAATATCAGAAATACTTAAAAATATTCAGTATAAAGAATAAATATACTAACCGTTTATAGTAAACATCTAACTTGATAGATTTTCTTTCTATAACTCGAATAAACGACCGAGATTTTCTGGCTATCTGGATTCGAAAATGTTCTTGATATTCTAGAAAGGGTAATATAATGTAGTGTAGTGAATATGAAACAATTAATGGGTTTATATTGTTTATACGGAAGATATTGTGCCACTGAGTAGACTAGACATTTAACAAGATAACTTTAACTTCCTACTGTTATTTTATCCAACAACTTTAAAAGTTTCAGAATATTAATGTCTTACCTGGGTTGATACTACCTTTAAAAGTTTCAGAATATTAATGTCTTACCTGGGTTGATACTGCCTTTAAAAGTTTCAGAATATTAATGTCTTACCTGGGTTGATACTACCTTTAAAAGTTTCAGAATGATCTGTTTGACTCTGTTCCTGAAACAAGACAATATCTGTTTATTATTATAACTTCTCTTATTGAAATATCATCATAGAGTAATGTTCAAAACTTGTTCAAAAATGAACTGAAGCTAATATCAATGCTACCATCCTGAAATTTACTAGGAGCCTTTTGAAGAAAAAAGATGCGAGGTAAAGAATAAAAGTAACTTACTGTAGGAAAAGGAAAGTCGTATGTAACATACGTATCTAGCTTCTTCTCTTCATAATCTGTCAATACAACATCCAATTATTATCATTAAACATATATTAAACATATATTAAACATACATTAAACATATATTAAACATATATTAAACATACATTACATATATTAACATATATTAAACATATATTACATATATTAAACATACATTAAACATATATTAAACATATATTAAACATACATTAAACATACATTAAACATATATTAAACATATATTAAACATATATTAAACATACATTACATATATTAAACATACATTAAACATATATTAAACATATATTACATATATTAAACATATATTAAACATACATTAAACATATATTAAACATATATTAAACATACATTACATATATTAAACATACATTAAACATATATTAAACATACATTAAACATATATTAAACATATATTAAACATAAATTAAACATATATTAAACATATATTAAACATATATTAAACATATATTAAACATATATTAAACATACATTACATACATTACATATATTAAACATATATTAAACATACATTAGACATATATTAAACATATATTAAACATACATTAAACATATATTAAACATATATTAAACATACATTAAACATATATTAAACATAAATTAAACATACATTACATTACAATTAAAT